TCAGCCAAGTTGCAGGGTACAAAATCAACGTACAGAAATCGGTTGCATTTTTATACACCAATAATGAAGCAACAGAAAGAGAAATCAAGAAACTGATCCCATTCACAATTGCACAAAAAACCATAAAATACCTCGGAATAAACCTAACCAAGGATACAAGAGATCTGTATGATGAAAACTATAGAAAACTTATGAAGGAAATTGAAGAAGACACAAAGAAATGGAAAAACATTCCATGCTCATGGATAGGAAGAATAAATATAGTTAAGATGTCATTACTACCTAAAGCACTCTACACATTCAATGCAATTCCAATCAAAATTGCACCAGCATACTTCTCAAAACTAGAACAAACTATCCAAAAATTTGTATGGAACCACAAAAGACCCCGAATAGCCAAAGTAATACTGAAAAATAAAACCAAAACGGGAGGTATCACCATCCCAGACTTCAGCCTCTACTACAAAGCTGTCATCCTCAAGACAGTATGGTATTGGCACAAAAACAGACACATAGACCAATGGAACAGAATTGAGAACTCAGAAGTGGACCCAAAAGTATACAGCCAACTGATCTTTGACAAAGCAGGAAAGAATATCCAATGGAAAAAAGACAGCCTTTTTAACAGATGGTGTTGGGAGAACTGGACAGCAACATGCAGAAGAATGAAACTAGATCATTTTCTCACACCATGCACAAAAATCAACTCAAAATGGATAAAGGACCTGAACGTGAGACAGGAAACTATCAACACCCTAGAGGAGAAAGCAGGAAACAACCTCCTTGACCTCCACCGCAGCAACTTCTTACTTGACACATCCCCAAAAGCAAGGGAATCAAGAGCAAAAATAAACTGTTGGGACCTCATCAAGATTAAAAGCTTCTGCACAGCCAAGGAAACAACCCAGAAAATTAATAGGCAACCAACGGAATGGGAAAAGATAGTTGCAAATGACATATCAGATAAAGGGTTAATATCCAGAATCTATAAGGAACTCACCAAACTACACGCCCGAAAAACAAACAACCCAGTGAAGAAATGGGCAGAAGACATGAACAGACACTTCTCCAAAGAGGACATCCAGATGGCCAACAGACACATGAAACGATGCTCAGCATCCCTCCTCATCAGGGAAATACAAATCAAAACCACACTGAGATACCACCTCACGCCAGTCAGAGTGGCTAAAATGAGCAAATCAGAGAACTCTAGATGCTGGCGAGGATGTGGAGAAACGGGCACCCTCCTACACTGTTGGTGGGAATGTAAACTGGTACAGCCCCTCTGGAAAACAGTGTGGAGGTTCCTCAGGAAACTAACAATAGAACTCCCCTATGACCCAGCAATAGCACTGCTAGGAATTTACCCAAGGGATACAGAAATGCTGAGGCATAGGAGCACATGTACCCCAATGTTCATAGCAGCACTCTCCACAATAGCTAAAACATGGAAAGAGCCTAAGTGTCCATCAACAGATGAATGGATCAAGAAGATGTGGTTTATCTATACCATGGAATACTACATGGCAATGAGAAACAATGAAATCTGGCCATGTGTAGCAACATGGATGGACCTTGAGGGTGTTATGCTGAGCGAAATAAGTCAGGCAGAGAAGGACAAATATCATATGTTTGCACGTATAGGAGGATTAGGAGGAACTTGACGGAGGAACAAGGGGGAGAAGAAGGGCGGAAATGGTGGGGGAAAGGGAGAGAGGCAAACCATGAGAGACTCTTGAATGCTGACAAAAACTGAGGACTGATGGATGTGGGGGGGAGGGGGGGATGGGCATGGAGGAGGGCACTTTGGGGATGAGCACTGAGTGTTATGTAGAAACTAATTTGACAATAAACTATTTGTAAAAAATAAATAAATATATATATAAAAAAAATAAATGGTACATATATATATTGTGAAAAATGTGAACAGAGACTTGTATGTTTTTAGAGGTGGGGGAGAGAGAAGGAGGGAGAAAGTGGGGAGAGGGGCAGAGGGGAGAGAGTATCTTAAGAAGGCCATATCCCGTGACCTGATCATGACCTGAGCCGGAATCAAGAGTCAGATGCTTAACTGACTGAGCCACTCAAGTGCCTGCAGAGACTTGTATTTTAAATTAGCAGCAGTAGAGAAAGAAAATATTCACATTCATTCCTTAGTTACTCATTATCAGTGCAGTCAAGTTTTTTGTGTCATTTGTGTTTATATCGATTTTCTTCTCTTGTCTAGTCAGATGCAACCCCATGAAATTGTAAGAATTCCACCTTTAAAGGTTTTGATTTTTCTAAAACAATATATGGCCTGGATAACTTTTGTTTCAGAAGTGGAATTGTAAGTAGACCCTTTAATGCTGCTTGTGGGCCCATCATTGTTTCCCTCTCAGGAAAGTGCACCCCATTATCTGTGTGTGAGGGGGAGCTGTAGGCAGAGGGATTATGGCCAGGACCCTAATGGGGACGTAGCTCCTTTTCTAGTTAGAGACACTATGTTGTACAGTTTCTTTAAATAAGAGCCTTTGCTGAGGAGATAGCAAATTTTACCTGTTCCTCTCCTTTCAGAATAGAGGCAACTGGTATTCATTGAACCAATGAGTAATTCTCTACAATTCCAGATTGCAGTTTTACGCCTTTTCTTCCTCCTCAAACCTGCTGTACCTCCTCTCTCAGCCTCACTTTCAGCTGATGACTTTGTTTCTGGCCACAAGTCATCTTCTCTATGCCCCCTTACTTCTCTGATCCACTCTCCCCCCTTTTACTATATTCCAGGACTTTTCTTGTGAACGTGCCAAGCGAGATCTCTCCACAGGGTTTTTGCACGTTTTGTGCTCTCTGCCTAGAACACTTGCCTGACATGCTTGTTCCTTGGTCTCTTTTAATATTGTGTTCAAATGTAACCTTTGCCTGAGGCCTTCCCCAACCACCCCGTTTAGTATTGTAGCACCATCCTCGTACTCACTGTTCTCCTTCTTTGCTTTATCTTTCTTCATAGCACATACTTCCTTCTGATAGTGCATAAATTTACTTACACATTTTTTTATTGTGTTTCCTTTCACACTTGCTCTGGAAGGGCAGGTATTTTTGTCTGTCTCTTTTTATTTCTTTACTGATGTTTCTATAGCACCTAGAATGGTGCTTGGCACATAATAAATGGTCAATACAGATTTGTTTAATATTCTAGGAGGTATGTCGGTATCCTGAGTCAGAATACACATTTGTTTAAATCAGTTGTGTCACTTATTCATTTCATACCGACCATTCCGTGAGAGAGTAATATTTGAGGTAAATCTGAGTGTAATTGATATTTATATAATTTGGTTAACTATTTAACCAAATGTGCATTCATTGCCTAGGAACTGAGTCAAAGGGAGGCAGGCATCTCAGAAACCATGTTTGGACAGCCAAACTTAACACTGACAGGTGAAGTCATTAAAAGATTGATTAGGAAGATCTAAATAATATAAAACCATCTTTTTGAGCTCTTATAGTCCTTAAACTTGTTAAATACCTCTTTTCCATATAATAAGCAACTTAATGGCCTACTTTGGCATTTATTCTAGTCAAATACCAACACGTTTAGTGCCAGATGAAATACCTTCTTGTAATAAAATCAATTGCCCAATCCTTCTAAGTACCAGAGCAGTGATCTTGTCATTAATTTTTTTTAATGTTTATTTTTGAGAGAGAGAGAGAGAGAGAATGCGAACAGAGGAGGGGCAGAGAGAGAAGGAGACACAGAATGTGAAGCAGGCTCCAGGCTCCGAGCTGTCAGCACAGAGCCTGACATGGGGCTCAAACCCATGAACTGTCAGATCATGACCCGAGCTAAAGTCAGATGCTGAAGTGACTGAGCCACCCAGGCGCCCCAGCAGTGATTTTTTTATTTATTATTTATTTTTTATTTTTTAAAAATTATTATTTCTAGGAGAGAGAGAGAGACAGCGTGAGCAGGGGAGGGTCAGAGAGAGAGGGAGACACAGACTCCGAAACAGGCTCCAGGCTCTGAGCTGGCAGTCAGCACAGAGCCCGACGCGGGGCTCGAACCCACGAACCACGAGATCATGACCTAAGCGAAAGTCGGACGCTTAACCGACTAAGCCACCCAGGTGTCCCCTAGCAGTGATTTTTTCTTTTAAACTTTATTACTGGGGGGAAAAAGTACTTTAAAAAAAAGGAGACCTCAAATAGCCAGTTGAAAAACAGGTAAAAGTGGAACCTACCTATGTCCAAAGTCCAGGAGGATAGGTGTCCTCCTCACTGGGATGAGCAGATGAATTTCGTTCCTGCAGTGGATCCAATTTCTGTGGGATCTGAAACTGATCCAATGTGTGTGTTGGGAGCCAGGGGGTGATGTGAAATTAAGATGATACACTTAGGTACAGGGCTTTGGAAGGTCCCTGAGGCTTCCTTTGATCTTGATGATCATGTTGGTCATGGGGATGGAGATGAGCATTCACACCTTGAGCCCTTACATGCCCGGCACTGTTCCAGGCAGTGTTCACACATTTATTCCCCAAAACAAACCTAAGGCACACTGTACCAGAGGTACAGAGAAGTCATGCCCAGGGTCACACAGCTGGGAAGTAGAGTTGTTAGGAGAGTGAGGAAGGGCAGAAATGAAGAAATTAAATTGAGAACAGAGACCTCCATCAACCTCAGCCTTGCCACCCATCATTTGGGGAGATGTGGAAGACATCGCTTCATCTTGCATGTATGTCCTCAACTTCATTTGTGAAACAGACATATTGAGACATACTCACTGAGCTATGAACTACTTATTCTGTTCTGAGGTCAGGGAAAGTGTGTGCAAGTGCTTTGTGAAGAGTAGAGTGCTTGGGAACATAGTGTGACATGAAATTGCTTTTCATTCCAACTCAATATTACAGGTGAGGCTTGCAAATATGAATTTTGCTGACTTTTTATTTTACTTGTAATGCTTCTAATTTACTTCTGATGTTTCTAATTTATTTCTTGGATGTGATTTTTTTTTTTTTTTTAATTTTTAGGTTACTTGTCTGCAAGACTTTTTTGGTGATGATGATGTTTTTATTGCTTGTGGACCTGAAAAATTCCGTTATGCCCAAGATGACTTTGTCCTGGATCACAGTGGTAAGGCAATTCTTTGACTGTCTTGGAGGCTTGGGGTTTAGTTAGTTGGTACATGTTGCATGGTCTAGCATGTTGAAGAAAGGGGACAGTGGCCATACTCTATGTATGTATGTATGTAACTAATGAAAGCATTTGCCTGGTTGTAAAAAACAAAAAACTTTATTCAAGTACTTTTCAATTTTTAGCTGTTTTAATTCTCTTTTTACTGCATTCTTTTGCCTCTGAGATGAATTTCCTGCCCTGTTTCAGAACAAGGGATGTGCCAACATAAATTGGATTCTATTGAATCTGAAATGGTTATACAATTTCCATGTGCGTAATGGGATATTTAAAAGGATAGTAACTAAATTGTTGATAATAATTGTCTCAGGTGTTTTTTTTTTTTTAACTTGTTCTGTTTGCAACTTGAAAAAATAGCATGCATTGTTCATGTATGCAGGAAAAAAACAAAGCTATTTTCATTGATACAATAAGAAAATCCCTTTCTCCAGTGTATGGAGTTTTCAGCTTTTTAGCAATAACGCCAGTGATTTCAAGTGTTTTGGTTCTGGAAAATTGCTTTATCTTGTTGTCTTGAATTAATTTAAACCTATTACAGTAACCGTGATTATTTTAGCTGATAGTCAGTTTCCTCTTTAAATGAAATAAAATCATACAGACATAACATTTCACATAGGAGAGGGATGTTAGAGATACACTCTCACTCTTTAATTTCATGAATCAGGAACCTTGGCTTTTCAAAAATTAGACTGATGGTGTACCCTTTCCAGTTGTGATTCTGACCATCCAGAATTAGAGAAACATATTACCAAATAGTGCGATCCATAAACTTGCTAAAATTCAAGATGATACATTCTGTGGCACCGAACTTCCTTGTGTAATTCTTTCCTGTTACACTATGTCAGTTACCTTGGGGATAATGTATCTACTTTGTATATGGGCCTCATTTCTCTATACTTTGTTTTTGTTTCATTTTTTCACTGCTGCCAAATTTCTTTGAGGGTTCCTGTACTGTTTTGTATTCTGTTGGACTGACCCTGCTTTAAACTGGTACTACCACTGGAAAGAAGTACAGAGAATGTCCTTTTGTATTATGTGTGCTAATACTCTCCCCTGTTCTCAGGGATGACTAAGGTTGACTGAAACTGTGCGTTTGCATTATCATCTGTATTTTACATCTTCCTTGATTTTAGCTTAGTTTCCATTTCATAATATTTCTTTGATATCAGTCAATATTAGTAAATTTGAAAGGTGAGACACTTTAACAGGATATTCTAGGTCACACGGTTAATTTGGGTAACAACATTTACTGAGTACATACTGTGTATGTAGCAGTCATTGTTCTCTGTGCTTTATGTGTATGTTAGAAGCTTCCCTAAGCCAGTTTCATCATTTGTAGTTTTTGTTGTTAGCTACTGATGACCTCCAATAGTGAAAGGTTGTTGAGAGCTACTGATTTCTTCCCTCTCAGTCTCCAGTTACTTAACCTTTTGCAAACTGGGGGTAATCGGCTTTTTCATAAGATTTTGTGAGGATTAAATGAGTTAATATAGGTGAAGTAATTAGTGCCTATAATATAGTATGTGCTATTGCTATTCTTATTGTTGCTGTAAATGTCATTGTACCACCACCATCAAGCCATAACATTAGACCTAATTCTGCCGCTGTTATATTTATTAGGGGACAAAGTTTTTGTTGCTTTTAAAATCAGTTATTTTAATCTTAATTAAAGATGTGTTTAATCTTAACAAAGTCTTAACTCTCTATCCTTTTAGGATCCTGACATCTTGCATTAAAGATTCAATAGATTGTTAATGTCGTCTTAGCCAAGTGACAAAAACCTCCTATTAAGAGCTGGCTTCAGGGGCGGGCCTAGAGACCTAAAATGAGGGTGTAGTTCTGAAGTTCTAGTTCTTGGTTCTCTAGATTTACACTTGTGCTTACTAAAGAGTGGCAGTGCCTTTAAGGTGATTCTAACACACACACCACTCCTTTCAACAACAAAATACTTTTTAAATTACATAATGCTGATTAACTAAACTGAGGTTGCCACAGCCCCCTTCAGAGTAAGGTTTTGATTTGGGTCTTTCAGATGCTAACTAGCCTCCCCTGGTGTGTATTTTCCTGATTAGTGTACTTCACATGTTAATTTATTGCCCCTGAAGTATAGATTAAAACCAATCCACATTTTAATCTTACTGCATAAATTGAAGTATTTTAACATAAATTACAGTCAATATGTTATCTAATTTAATCCTTATAACAAGCCTCCGAAGCAGATTTTATACTTATCCCTATCACATAGGGGAAAAACCTGAGGCTTAGAACCTAACCGAAGTCCCCCAGTTAGCAAAATCAAAGTCATGATTCATTCAAAATCTGCATGACTCCAAAACCCATGTTGTTAGTTATTCAAATTAGCAGTGATTGCTTTAGCTGTAATTAGTTCTGGTACTCTAAATGCTATTTTATTTGGTGATTTATGGAAAAACCAGAGTTATTGTTTAAAGCTAGTTTCCTCATTTTTGATGCTCCATCCTTAGGGACAGTGGAAAATAAGATGGTAAGAAGTCCCATACCCTTTCAAAATAAGATTATCAGAGAGTTTGGAGAGAATAATAAAATTGCAGGCTTTTGCTCTCAGCGCTACTGACTAAAAAATGAAGTTGCACACATTTGGATTAGGCTCTGTGGGTGTGATTAAGTTAGGACATTGGGATTTCTATATTCATTCATATAGAAATGATGAGATGTGCTCTGCAAGATGTGTGCTTCAGTAAAGATAATATCAGGTGTACTTTTGGGACAGTTGCTCTGTATATTAACATTTAACAACAATAGGAAAATAATCCAGGAATGGTTTTAGGCAGTAGTCTATGTTCACGTGTGATCTTCCCTTGGTTAGTATTTAAACCAGATTTAGTTATTGCATTTTCCTTCCTTTCTAGAATGCCGTGTCTTGAAGTCATCTTATTCTCGCTCCTCAGCCGTTAAGTATTCTGGATCTAAAAGCCCTGGGCCCTCCCGACGCAGCAAATCACCAGCTTCAGGTAGGTGGTTAATCATTTTCCTTTCAGTATTCTTTGGTTATTATGAACTAGTAAGCTTCCCCATGTTTGTATGTAGCTTGGTTCCAAAACAACAGATAGGTGACATGACTTTTAAAACCAAATGTTTAAGTCTCTTTCTCAGAGTTGTTACAAATCTGCTAAGACACTTGTTTGTTTTGTCCTGATACATTTTCTTAAGAACAATCATTAACTAGAATCTTCTGGTATTTACTCAGAAGTGCTTCACATTGTGACCATTGCATACTATATTTTTAACTTTGTGCTCTATGATTATGGATATTTTCTTCTCTTACTGGTTTAAAACATACGTACACACACCTAACAGAAATGCATTTATTTGATAAATTTTGCAGGTGTTTCCTTCTTTAAGCAGTTGAATAGTAGCAGTGATTATTATTGGAAATTAGTACTTATTTAGAAGTCAGCTTTATCTGTAATTAAGTTTCTTTCAGGTTCTAAACCTGTAGATTTGTCCTAATTTTGACTGCTCTGGGGCACTTTTATAAAGCTAAAAACATCTGTCAATATCTTGATGTATTAATTTTATAAGGTTTGTCTCTAGTAATTATAAATAATTTTGGAATATCATTTTACTGTTAAGGAAGTGATATGAAAAACGTGATTTTACATGTGGGAAATCTAGAACTTGATGAAAGTAGTATCAATAAAAACTGTCTAAAGCATCAGGCTCTTTATAAAAGTCTGAGTTTTTTGGACATTATACTTTTCACTGATTCCCCTTTAGCAACCACCCCACTTTCCTTAGGTTGGGTTGTTTTACCCGTTTTTTGTATACATGCCTGATCAGACCTGCTGAATAACTGCTTTCCTTACTGTCTCCTCCTCCTTGTACTCACTGAATGTACAGTAAAGAGGGGTGGCCTTCACTCCAGTGCCTACTCTGCAGCCAGATCCCCAGGTGAGCCATGATGACTATGGCTTTGTCGCTCTGCTGGGTTTTTTTCGTTTTTGTCTTTTGCCACATTTCTGTTTCCTTTTGCTCCATTTCCATGAATGTATCTGGCTTGTACCAGTGTACACTGTGCGCTGTGGAATGCTTCACGGTGCTCAGGATGCCTCAGCCTCCTGTCTTTATCAGAAAACCTCATTGTCAGAAGATGGCCAGATGCCTCTGTATGCACTTGCAGGACAAAGCGATTGAGAAAGCACACCACACCCAAGAGCCTATCTTCTAGTTAATATTCTGTTATTGAAGATAACATTTGCAATGTTATTGATATTGGTATATATTCTGTTATTGAAAAAGTAATATGAAATGGCCATCAAAACAATTAAACTCTTCTGTTCTTCTTCCCCTTCTAGGCCCAACACCCTATCTAAAAATATTGACAATATGAATATTTTTAACTGAAAGCATCTCTCTACCGTGAAGCTTATTTCAAATCATACTGTGCTTTCTGTAAAGTATCTCAAACAAGGAAAGCTAATATAACATGAAATTTGCATAAATACAATTATCTGACCTTACCATTTAGTAAAATGTGGATTTTTGTCAGGTTCTTAGCTTTTCATTTAGCCATAGGTTTACAGAGGTTTATCCTAACAGTAAAATAACTAAATAGAAGTGAGGAAAGTGATTCAGGAATCAGGTATTATAATGAATCCAATACATACTAAACTAAAAACATGTTTCATAATCATATTTGTATAAGGAAAGATTTATTCAAGTCTTTTTAACTTGGATTTGGAATGCTTACAGATTGACTCAAGAAATCTTAACATTGCAGTGCCCTCAGTGTTTAAGTCCATATTTGCATTTGGGATAGTAGAGTAGATCTTAAACTCCTAAGTAAAAGCTGTGAGATGTTTAAATTATGTTTCAGAGGGCAAATAGCTTCTTTATGAGAGATTATACTCATAAGTATGTTCAGCACAGGGGCACCTGGTTGGCTCAGTTGGTTAAGTGTCCAACTTTGGCTCAGGTTGTGATCTCGAAGCTCGTGGGTTCAGGCCCTGCATCGGGCTCTGTGCTGATAGCTCAGAGCCTGTAGCCACCTTCAGATTCGGTCTCTCCCTCTTTCTCTGCCTCTCCCCTGATCATGCACTGTCAGTCTCTCTCTCTCCCTCTCTCTCTCTCTTTCTCAAAAATAAATATTAAAAAAGAGTATGTTTGGCACATACTGCAGTTACAGAAACCTGAGGATTTTGTATTATTAAAAGCCAACTACCCATAAGTACAACTCACTTTTATAGACCTCTTTAAAAGCTGTGGTATACCTGTTAACATTTAGAAAATTCCATGGGACTAATCGGAGTTGCAAAGAGAGCTAGTAACTCGGTAGACATAATATTGTACTTTTCTATCTTGGGACAGAAGTGAAGTCTTCTTCACTTTGTTGACTGAATTCTTCAACAAAACTCAATCAGAATAGCTAAGTAGCGTGTAATAAACAAAGAAATTCATCCCGATAGCATAATTCAGTAAATATTACCCTAATTTGAGTCCTCAAAATTCTCACTTTCAGTTTCTTGTGAATCTTTGAGAGTCCACCAAGATGTAGAGTATTCAAGCAGGTGAACAACAACAACGAAAGCCTTAAGTTTATTTGTTACCTTACAGTAGAGGGGAGGGATGTATGATAAATAGCCTTATGTTGGGAAAGAATTTGGGGGTGGTGAGTAGTGGGAGGAGAAAGGTGCTGGCAGCTTGTTACCTGCCTACCAGTTGGTGGCAGCAGTGTGAGGGGAGTGGCTACAACACGGCACTGTCCTGGGTCCCACTTACCCTCCCTGGAGGGTAAGACTGGAGAAATGTGCAAATAAATGAAGTTAAGGACCACTCATTAGGAAACACTTTTAGAGCCTTCCAAATGCTCTGGGAAACTTAGAGGCCCAGAGGTGACTTAGTATCTATTTAGTCTGAGATTATTTGGGGGAAATATGGACATGTAGTTACTGACACCAGTAAAATCCTGGCATTGAGTTTTATTAAGAAACTGTGTTTAAGCAGGGGGTAGTATGTCTTTAGGGAGATTTGTTTGCTGTCAAGATCACCATTTGTAGGAATTGATTTTTCTCCTTTAGTCCCTTTTCTGTCACTGTTCCAAGGTAACCTTTGATACCAGTGTGATGTCTGAACATCTGTGAAGCTAATAGCACTTATTGAGTAGGGATTGGTCACCTGTACAGGTTGCTGTATGGAATGAAGAAGAAAGAGAATAAAATTCAGTCTCAGCTCACCGCAACTCAGCTCTTTCATTGCCCATAATAATCTCTATTTTATGTGAATTCCTGCCATCAATTCCCTTTATTTAAAGAGGATTTTTAAAACAAACAACATTGAAATTTAACTTAGTTAAGAAATAACAAGGACTGTTGAATATTCTTAAAAGTTTCTAATTGCACAGTTCCTTGTGTTGTACTTGCACTTTAAAGATGCACATATATTAAGAAATTATAGATAACTGATAATTATTTATGCATGAGGGATTTTGAATTAGAAAAATTAAAGTTTGGTCACTTAAAAGTGACTAGAATTTTTTTTCATCTATACCCAACTTTATTTTTTAATGTTTGTTTATTCTTAGAGAGACAGAGCATGAACACAGGACGGGTAGAGAGAGGAAGACACAGAATCTGAAGCAGGCTCTAGGCTCTGAGCTGTCCACACAGAACCCAACACAGGGCTTGAACTCACAGACCGTGAGATCATGACCTGAGCCAAAGTCAGCCACTCAACCAACTAAGCCACCTACGCAGCCCATGTACCCAATAATTAAAAATGAGCAATGCAGCAAAAAAAAAAGCATGACTTTGTAGACCCCAAATGTCCTTGTTTACAGATGATACATCCTGTTACAAACACTTGTCGATACAGGACTTTTGCCCCTACTCGAGGACGGGTGCTCACTTTTTTGAGTCCCCTATTTAGGACCTTTATCTTTATTTACATTTTGCTTTTTATACCCATTAGCTTCATTTAAAATAATGGTTGTTTGCTTCCTGATATTAAAAAAAAAAAAAAGATGGACTTTTCTTTCCATAGAGATGAATGGCAGTTTCTATTTTTAGGCAAAACATTAAAGGTTAATGATAAAAGAGGTTACAAATAACTTCTTAGAAAAATAATTACACCAGTCATAGACATTAACTACGAACTTTGTGAAATTACAGCAGAGATGGATCCAGGTGATACAATTAAGAATGAGCATGAGTCCTGCTGAAATGTTTGACCAGCATTCTGTAGTACGAAATCTGAAAATTTATCTTCCCCTCTAAACAGCAGTGGTTAGATGTGCCTGGGTGACTCAGTCATTGAAGCATCTGACTCTTGATTTGGGCTCAGGTCATGATCCCAGGGTCATGGGATCCAGACCTGTGTCAGGTTTTACAGGGAGAGTGGAGCCTGTTTAAGATTTTCTTTCTCTCTCGCTCTCTCTTGCTCTGCCTCTCCCATGCTCATGTGGTCTCTCTCTCAAAAATAAATAAACATTGTAAAAAGAAAAGAAAATAGTAGCAGTCATACTTTTCCTAGGTGTGCTCTAAATTGAGCTTTCAGCCTAAGAAGTGTATGGAAGTTTGGAGGGGGTTCTATAAAAACCACCAAGATTTACTAAATAATGGGAGAAATTAAACTGTGAAAACAAGAAAATAGAAGGAATTTAGAAATGACTAGTTTAGATAAAATTGAAGAATGTCTTTTATGGCCTTCAAACAAATAAGTAGGTGCTAGAAGAAAAATAACAGTAATATTCCCTTTCCATCAAGGATATACTTAGAAAATGTGTTTGGATTATGGTGGAATTGGTTTGGAGAGCCGTAGAACTTCTTGGTTATTCAGGTTGGTATATACCAAGAGAATGGATACTGGAAGTTAGAGAAAAACCTTCATAGTAAAGCATTACAAATATACCAGCCATTTTATTTTTCTACCCTTGCTAGTGGGCAGAGTGTATGGACAAGTTCTCATTCACATCTCTAATTCCATAATGTTTTATATATTTGTTTATATCACTGTTGGAAAACAATTAATGAAAACAATTCTAGTTTTAGTCCTTATTTGTCTGATACTTTGTAATGCAGTAAGACACATTACTTTTGCATTTTGCTGATTTGCCATCTGCTTTGAGCTTTAAATGAATCAAACCTTCCTTGGAGCTATGTTGTGCATGTGCTTAGTGTTTTTGAACACAGGTTTGTTGTTTTGGGTTTTAATGACCTCTGTTTCCTTTGTTGTCTTATGGTCAGTTAATGGAACTCCCAGCAGCCAACTGTCTACTCCTAAATCAACGAAATCCTCCAGCTCTTCCCCAACTAGCCCAGGAAGTTTCAGAGGACTGAAGGTATGAAATTGGATACATGGCATGTTTGCATGTTTTGTTATTTTGAGTTGCATAGTTTGGTAGTTTAATTTATTCAGGGGCTTCGGTGTAATAAATCAAAAGGGAAAGAGTTTAGGATTTGGAGCCAGGAAGACCTGGCTTTGAATCCTTTGTTTTTCATCTAGTAATCTGGGTCAACTCACTTAACTCTTCTGAGCTCAAGTGTTTCTATCTCTAAAATGGGACTACAAGGTTGTGGTTAGGGTTGAATATATTGTGGTGAAGTATACTAAATAGTAGTTTTCACATTATTATCAAAATGGTTTGCAGTGGGAAAGACTTGGAGAACACTATAATTCTTCTAAAAATCTCATTTTGAATGATGATTTTAATATTGCTAGCTAACCTAATTTGACTTTGCAAAAGTCTAAAATAGAATGAAATACTAGCATGGTACTTATATACAAATGTGGTAACATAAAAAGATATGTTCACTTTGATGAGAAGTTAGAAATAAATCCTAAGTTTTGACTGTGAGGTCCTAAAAATATAAATGGTGTTGAAATTTTGCAAATCTGGTTTCATTCAACATTAATTTTGCTTAGTAGTTTTCAGTCCTTTTGCCTGGTAAAATAGCAGTAAATAACTTGGGTTGAAGATTGAAAGTGTCTTTTTGTAGAAATATTCTCCAAAGATGGTTGCCTAAACACTTCAAATATTGTCTGAGTGGTTTTCTTTACTTTTGAGGATGTTGAAAATCTTTTTTGTTAGTGAAATGAGTTGTAAGCACCTCACCACCCTTGGGTGAGAGAGGAATGAGAACCTGCAGCAAGGATCAAGGAGGATCGTGGGCCCCCTACTTCTCGAAGGGCTCATTCTCCACCTGACACTGGGTTTTCCCGTCCTTTTCTGAGAAGGTTGTGTGAACAAAGTGAACCTGCAAGATACTCGTGTAAGTCACAGAGATCAGAAAGAGAAATTCCTTCTGGAAAAGGACAGCTTGTCTGTTTTTGTGCCTGCTTGCTTGTATGCGTTGGCAGAAATTGAACTGAAGCTGGCAGTAAGTTTGGGAGCAGCAAGTACATAGCTGTCACCTACCTCCAAGTGGTGGAAGCTCCTCTTTACGAGTAGAACCAGGCATTTTCTGAAGTGCTAAACTGGCTGGCTAAGGTCAGTTTATAATATGATTTTGGTGGAATTCTTAACTGTGAATGATTGAGAAAGTGATATAAATTAAAAATCACTAACCAGCTAAGTATTTTCAGCTCCCCCCTCCCAATTTATTGTCTCCGAAATAGATAGGAGGTGCAGTGTTTTAATTTGAGTAACTTTCAAGAGAACTAAAGTAAAAATAGTTGAAGTTAGTTCACCTCTTTTCTGATTTCAGGTGTTTTGTTGTGTGTTGATATAAAAGCAGGTGGCTCCTAGTGCTGGTAACTCTTAGCCTTAGGGCAGAGCCCACACAAGCTTTCCAAGGAGCCACATGTGAAGGCTCTTCATGTCCTCCCCCAGGCCATGGCTCTGGGCTGAGCCCCTGGCAGATACCTGACTGCTTCCCTAGAGTGTCATTCATTTCCCTTTTTCTGTTATCTATTGGTAACCTTTGCTCCCATCTTTTTGGCTCATTTTCAGTTGTGAGCCTAAAATTGTTCCTTTTAATGGGTGCTACTAGAATGCTCAGAATACACACACAGTCTACATCCTTGCACACAAAGTCGCACAAGATCACTTGCACTTCTGGAGTGGAGGTTCATGGAATTTTAAAAACATAGTAAGTTGCTTTATTGCTGAGACATTAGATGAAGTTGTTCTCATCACGCTGAGTGTATCAGAAATGATATAGCAACCCCAGCACCTAGCACATAGATCCCTGCTCAGGATTTCTTGTTGGTGCCTAAAGAGGTAAAGAAGATAAGAGAAATGTTGGTTACTGGTCAAGATAGAAGATGAGATTATCTGGATAAAGAGTAGTGGTCTTTCTGTAACTGCTGGGAGCCTCTGCCTTGTGTGAAGGGAGGTTTCCTTTGGATTGCCCATGAGATGTACCTGGGGACCTGCAATCCAGTAAAGATAGCCAGAAGGAAAGTAGCAAGCACAGAACAGTTTTTTAAGGTGAAAATACACTCGCAAGGTGAGAGAGTATAGGCGGGTTCTGTGAGGTGGAAATGACCCTAGGTTGTTTAGGGATTGGATATTATTTTATCTTTCTGGGTGGGGAAGAGCTGGGATGTACTGTGGGGTGATCTCTGATGGAGGCTGCTTCCAATTATTTGGGGGATTCCTCCCACAAGTTGAGAGAGGGAGTTTTTGACCCTATAAGGTTTGTACCTGGGTGATCCTAGCAGTCTTTCTCCATGGAGGGGGCAGTAACCTCAATGCAAATGCATTTAATGAGTCTAGAAGTTTCCCTGGAGCAGAGGTGGAAGAAGAGAGCCCATGCTCTTTTCCTGTGGCTCTTCATCTGTCAGCCCCAAGGTCTTGGAAGCTACAAGGTCAGGATGTTGTGTCCCAAGCTTTTAATGTGTGACCTGTTTATCACCATCCTTGCCTCCAGCTCAAGGACTTTGGACTCTGAGCCCTGGCCTTCCTTTACTGTTCAAATTTACTTAACATTTCCATGACCCCACTCTGGTCCCTCCCAAACCAACTTTGTCTTCCACCACACTTGAAGCCTGTGGGCTTTGCTCACAGCTGTGAGGCCTATTCTTTGTTTTCTTTCTATCATCTATAAAATAAGGACATTTGATTTAAAGTGACCTCCAAAATGCTAGGATTATAGTTCTTTTAAGTTAGCAAAAAAAACCCACCTAGAAGGTTAGGGAATCTTTCTCTTCTCACTTTAAAGCTGACACAGAATTACCAAATTTTACATTAAATATTTGCAGCTAGATGAGTCTCTGCCACACTGATCAGGTTTTAGGCCACAGTGCCAAACTGCCGCCTGGGTCATGCCTTGTGGAACCTCATGTCATGACTGTCCCCGGCAATCTGTGGTCTTGGATATTGTCATAGGGATGAAGACCTGCCTTTGAAATACTGCAGCTTAGTCATGTTACTTAACCAAATACACTGATTTTGATGTCTTAAGTGCGAGTCAGCATCTGTCCACTTTTGCAGTATTTTCTATATTCAGTGACATTATAAATGGAGAATTACAGATAATTATCATGTTTTAGTGCTCTGCTTTTTTCTTCCCTTTCATTTACAATGGCTTATTAAGATCAATTAAGAGGGATTGTCTGACAATGGAGGACTGTTTTTCATAGGCAGGAACTATTTATCCTGGTTTGAGGCTTTAATGGCTTTGGGGATAGATAATCTTTTTCCACAGAATCAGAATTGACAAAAACAAGCCAACCATGCCAGGACAGCATTTGTGGGAGCTGACACTCCTCTCTATCTGCCAGGACGCAGCGTTTGCCAGAATTTTTTTTTTTTTTTTTTTTTTTTTTTTTTTTTTTTTTTTTTTTTTTAACTATCTGGGTTTTACTAAGTTGGGAATTAAGCAGAATCAAGTCTAGGTAAGCAGAATTTGAGATCCTCTTAGAACCTTCCCCTCTTTATGCAGTTTCTGGGAATCATTTTAGTGTTTTGACAGAGACTTTGGATGAACTGAAAATGAAAATAGTCATATTGTGGTGTTTAATCTCTGACCACAGAGTGTCCATGGCTGTTTTTTGTTTGCTCATTGAAAAAAAGAGAAATACAGAAGCAACCCACCTCCACAAAAACAAACAAACAAAAAAAACTACTCAGTTTTTCTGTAATACTTTTTGAAGGAGGCATTTCTGCACCATTTATGTGCATTTATAAAAGATCATGCTTTTTTGAAGAGCTGGACCAAAGCCAAGAGAGGAAGCAAAGCTTTCTCCCAATTGTGAATATTTTTTTCAGGATGGAAGTGTAAGGAATAGGGTGGCAACCAAGCAGTTGGGGTCCTTTAAACCTAAAACTGAAAGATGTTAGGGTAACTGAGAATTAGTTCAATTATCATTTTTTGATGTTGCTAGTTCTTTGAAACCTACAATGAGAAAACACAGTAATCTCAGGTCTATAGGTTAATCTTCATACTATAGATGGAGAAACTGAGATGCAGAGATGTGAAGTAACATTTAACTCAGGGTCTCAGTGGCCCGTTGGGATCTCTGACTCTTTCAGGGTCTGTCTCTAACCTCTGACTTTCCCTCCATTACTGGAGGATCTGCTTGAAGGACTGCAGCCCAGGAATCTCAGGAGAAAGCTGGCATGATTATTATGGAAAATCAATGGATAGGTCTTTTAGGAGGGGGAATGCTGGGGATGCTTTGCTTACTGAGTATCTGGATTTAGATATGCATAAATGTTCTGAATAAAAACGGGTTGAGATATCAGAAAAGGAATAGAGGAATGGTGCCTGGGAAAAGGGTGAGGCAGTCCTGATTGGGGGAGAGGTAGATGAAGGGAGGTAGAAAGATAGAGAAGTGTCCAGCACTTCTACCTGACCCCATGAAGCTTTAGTAAAATGACAAAAGTTCACAAGAGGTTAGGGTTATTGGTTTTCTTTGGAAGCAAAAAATTGAGCTGAGTATTGTCAAGATTGACATAGGCTGAAACAAGATCATGTAGTCCAGGCCCAGCAAACACATGGGTACCTGGGAATGAGATAATATTGCATGGTGGGCCTGTTATGGAAGCCACATTGTGAGGATAGTAGCATAACTGGGATTTGAAAACAGAGCCCAAACGTACCACTGTTACTAGCCTCTAAGATACAGTGAGAAAGCAATGCCAGTCTTTTAAACAGATGACTGGAAACAACGTGCTCAGACCAAAAAGTCATAAAATGAGTTGCTACGGCTACCTAGGAGGTCTCTATTGGGCCATTTCCCCAAAACCTAGTCTGTAGCTAATAGAACTGGTTTTCCTTTTGTATGGATTTAGGGAATCTGGTTTAACTAGGACAAAACCATTGGTGGTCATGGTCACCTGGGAAGGAGGTAGTTCTGTTGGCCAGAACCAAGCCTCCTTCATGACACCCCAGG